TTTTTTGAGACAGAGTTTCGCTCTTGTTATCCAGGCTGGAGTGCAATGGCGCAATCTCAGCTCACCGCAACCTCCGCCTCCTGAGGCAATTCTCCTGCCTCAGCCTCCTCAGTAGCCGGGATTACAGGCACGCACCACCATGCCCAGCTAATTTTTGTAGTTTCAGTAGAGACGGGGTTTCACCATGTTGACCAGGATGGTCTAGATCTCTTGACCTCATGATCCACCCGCCTCGGCCTCCTAAAGTGCTGGGATTACAGGTGTGAGCCACTGCGCCCGGCCCTTTTTTTGTATTTTTAATAGAGACGGGGTTACAGCATGTTGGTCAGGTTGGTCTCAAACTCCTGACCTCGTGATCCGCCCGCCTCAGCCTCCCACAGTGCCGGGACTACAGGTGTGAGCCACCGCGCCCGGCAGAAAGGAGCATCTCCTGGCACATCCCACGCCCTTGCAGGGTGGGCCGGGCAGGGGGCTGGGCTCACAGGGCTGGGTGGGTGGGGCAATCTCACGGAAGACGGGAAGGTAGGGTGGGGAGCAGGGAGGCCCCATTTGCAGCTCCCGCCCCTGGTCCTAGACTCACTGGCTGGCGCTCTGCTTCAGGAGGCCTGGGCCCCTTCCTCCCAGGGGTCGTGTCTGTCATGAGACATGGATGAAATCCAGGAGCTTGGGTCAGGTGTCCTGGGAAGCTGGGATGGGAAAGCCCTTGGAGGCCCCTTCCGCTTCCTGCTGATCTCCGTTTGGTTTTTCTCCCTGACCAGACTCTGAACCCAGAATGTTTTCCAACGCCCCCAAGTGCCCTCTCACCATTCTGGGTCCCGGGCTCCCAAACTGCCGGGTCTTTCTTTGCGGGGCTAATCCCCGGGCTCCCAAGCGTGCGTAAATGCGGCTTCTTGCACGCACAGCTAGAGGCAGAGCCAGCTCTGACCTTTCCAGCCTGGCCACTGCAGGCTCCAGGCCCAGTCCCTCCTGGCTTGTGACTTGAGCTGCAAAGTCCCCTCGCCTGCCTCCGCCAACCTGACCTCGTGGGCTAGAGTGGCCCCTGCTTAGGGGCAGCGGACTTCCAGAAGCTTCCGGGCCCCCTCCCTCGAGCTGGGTGTCGGACCAGCTCTGTGTTTCATTCTTCCTGGTTGGTTTCATGAAGCCCCATCCTTAGCCTCCTGAACAAGAAAAGAAACTGAAAGCACCAATCTAGTTCCTAAATCCAAAGCTTCCAGGTCTTTCTGCCCTCCGACGGTCTGCTGGGCCAGGGGTCCACGCCCTCTCGTCACCCAACTAGGGCTGACTTTACCACAGATGGTCCCCGCCCGCCCCCAGACCTTCTCGCCTGGAGTTTGCTGTCAGGGAGGCCCCCACCTGGCGCTGTGCTGTGACTCAGCCCAGGGCGGAGCTCTGCAGGGCCAGCCCACCGTCCCCCAGCCAGAGCGAGACAGGCCCCGGTCTGCCGCTGACGCCACCTCATCCTGGAGCCAAGCTCCCGCTTCAGGGACAAAAGTGCAGAGGCCGGCCTTGGGCAGTGGCCCCGGAGAGGCAGCTGTGGGAAAGCATCCCTCTCTCCTCCTCCCCCTCCTCTCCCTCCTTATCCTCCTCCCCATCCCCCTCCTCCCCATCCTCCCTTTCCCACCCCCCTCTTCCCCATCCTCCTCCTCCCC